GAAGACAGGGTGAGGAACAGAGGAAAGTATGTGTAACACAATGGCAGAAAAATCAGAAATATTGGGGATTTTGGCACACAAGTATGATCTAGGGCCTTGTTTTCCATATCTGAACGATTACTATGCACTGAAGAATATTTAGGTAGGAATGACAGACGATTACACATAATCAGGGTAAGACTTTCAGTCAGCAATTAGACGTCTGGGAGATGCCTTTGAAAGCTCAAGGAAAACCAGTGCAAAATAAAAGAAGGCTGGACCAAGGTCATATCTTGGAAACAGAAGGAAGTCGATAGATTAGAAAGATAATGAGCTCAGCTCAGCACGAGTTGGTATCTGAGTTGCTATGGGGTGGCAGAGAGGGTGCTTCTGCAGAAGCACAACTATAAGCAAACTACATTTTAAGACAGCAAGGATAACCAACATGGATTCTCCACATTTGCTACTATGTGCTGCATATAGTTCTTAGTATTTATCAATGAATATCTTTAATCCCAACAACAATCTCCTGAGGTAGGTACCATTATCACAGACATTTTATAGTTGGTGAAACTGGACCGCAGAGAGGATAATTAATGGCAGAACCAGAATTTTGGCTCAGCAACACTTTTGCAGAGCCCAGGCTCTTAGCCGCTCTGTCATCTGCTACCATTACAGTACAGCTGCAACTCAGGGCTCCCCACTGTACTATTATTTTTTATTTTTATTTATTTATTATTATTTGGTAGTAGGGATTGAACCCAGGGCCTTCAAAATAAGCTACATCTGATCTCCCACTTTTAATTTTTTTTTTTGTGGTACTAGGAATCAAACTCAGGCCCTTGTGCTTGCAAAGCAGGCAGAGAAACCACTGAGCTAAATCCCTGGCCCTCCCACTTTTAATTTTGAGCAGGATCTCACTAAGTTGCTAAGTTTCTCAGACTCAAAGGTGGCAATCCTCTTTGTCAGGCTTGATCTGGCCATGGCCTGTTTAGTAAAATATGCTGCTTAATTCCAAACTACAGTTCTAAGCAGACACAAAGTTTTTACAGGTACAGAAACCGCAGCCCTCAGAACACACCACTCCTCCAGATGGCTGAGAAATCAGATGAAAGCCATGCTACCTCTGGGCCAAGAGAGAACACAGAAAGGGATATTACAGGAAGACATAAGACAAGAAGGCATAGCGAAGCAGAACACCTCCCTGGTGCCGTCATCTGATGACATCCATGCACCTGACTCAACTGCTGTGTGAACTCTGACAGCAAATGTTTGTTCCAACCCCTGTACATGACAGATCCCTTCTCAATCCCCTATGAAACTCCCTGCTTTTTTGTTGTTTGGTACTGACGGCTTTGTTGCTCTCAGTCAGCCTGCACTCAGTCTGTGCCTGATGACCTTTCACTAGCCTGTTCGGGTGGTCTGATTCCTCTGCTGTTTATCACACTCCTGCCTTAGTCTCCCAGAGTACTGGAATTATAGGCACGCTCTACCACAACCAACTCAAATTTCCTCTTAAAATATTGAAGAGTTTCCTAAAAACGAGAATGTTACAAACCAATGACTGTAGATTTTACTTCCAGAGAGAGAATTTATATTCTTTTTTTTTTTTCAGCTTTAATTGAGTTTATTGGTACATTTTAGGGATACAGTATAGTTACATTCATTGTTGGGATCTTGTACCTCTACATGACAAGTCTTGATTCTCATTTTTTCCCCTTACCTCTGCCCTCTCTTCACCCTCTCCTCCCCTCCCCATCTACAAACACTTTATTTTCATCTTTTCATTCTCTCACATTTTTTTCTTTTCCCTTTTTACTCTTCCCCTACCCATCCCACCTTCCCTACACCTTTAGCTCCTTTCTTCCCATTTCTAAATGTCAGTAATCTTATTAGAATCTTATGCATTGTTGCAGATTATTCACAATTCAATATGTATCCATTTTCCTATGAATGAATCTATTTTCTCGTTCTTTATGGCTGAGTAATATTCCATTTTATAGAAAAACCACATCTTCTTTATCCAGTTTCCAATGGATGGGCAAATGGGCTGTTTCCAAGATTTAGCTATTACAAACTGTGCCGCTATAAACATGGATGTGCATACTTCTCTGTGATATGATTCTTTTAGATCTTTTGGAAAGATACCCAGCAGAGGGATGGCTGGGTCAAATGGAACCTCCAGTCCAAGCTCTTTGAGGTATCTCCGTATTGATTTCCATAGTGGTTGCACCAGTCTGCACTCCCACCAACAATGGAGAAGGGTTCCTTTCTCCCCACAACCCCGCCAACATTTGTTATTGTGTGATTTCTTGATAGCAGCCATTCTTTGTGGGGTGAGGTGGAATCTCTTAACAGTTACGTTTTAGTCAATTCCATCCTGTCAAAATATTCATTGCTAATTCTTGACTCTTTTTAAAAGGGAAATTACAATAAAAGTTTTAAATCTTTTTTTAATCCAACTTACTACTCACTTCTTCAGAAATGCTGGACATCATTTTCCTTTGACCATTGCTTTCCAAGTGTTATAATCATTCAGCTTAATAGTAGTTATTAGCCAAACTATATCACAAACCTTGAAAGATAGATATTTAAAACATTATTTTAATTATAACAAATTGTTTTAATTGTTAATTCCATAACTATACACAGCCATTTAGCAATACATGTTTCTTGACAATATATCTTAAAGTAGACTTATTTAGTTGATGTCAAACAAATGATGCAGGTATTCATTTTAAGAGTTATATGTTTATTTATATTTTAATGTAATGTAGCATACTAATTTTCATTTAGGGCCAAATTTAATGTATAATTCAAATCCATGGTGTATTGCATATCACTATACACAGCCATTTAGCAATACATGTTTCTTGACAATATATCTTAAAGTAGACTTATTTAGTTGATGTCAAACAAATGATGCAGGTATTCATTTTAAGAGTTATATGTTTATTTATATTTTAATGTAATGTAGCATACTAATTTTCATTTAGGGCCAAATTTAATGTATAATTCAAATCCATGGTGTATTGCATATCTTAGAACCTATAAATTGTGTGTGTACTAATTCGATATAATGAACACTTGAGATTTTTCAGGTAAGCATTTTGTACCCTAGTCAAAAATAAATACTTGAAGAGTGATAGCTTTGAAAAGTGCTTGTCTAGAGGTAATCACCTTAGGCAGCTCCTACCATGCTTCAGCTATTTTTATCCTCAGTCTATGACAGATGGTTTGTTCATTAGCATAATGGAGATCATAAATGAGTTTTCATTGTGAAATGATTGGTGCTCAAGACATACAAATTGGCTTAAAAGATTACACAAGCATGGCTGCCCTGGTGGCATGCCCTGGGGCCCAAGATTTCGTATCTTTGGAGTATAGCCCTAGACCTAAGTACTTTAAATTCTCATCCATTTTTAATTCTCCCACCTACCAAACTTAACCAAATATTTATCAATGACAAATGAACTTTAGTCAGTTCACAGCAGTGCTCTAATGGCCAAGAATGATTGTGAAAAATATTTGGTAATGAAATACTTCTGCTGTAGTTTATCAGGGGTGAAGAACACACAGCGTGATATGTGCTCTTGCATAATTATTGCACAAGTCTCAGGAGGATATTAATTATTAAACTGCTGAATCATTGAAAAAGCATGTGCCACTTGAGCCTTCAAGCATTTCAAAGAGTTGCCTCTCTCTTGAAGCTGACAATAAACTCACTGGTTCTTTTTTTAGAATTGCCATGGTAAATACTTATCTTCAAGTCATAATAAAATTAAACCATCTGTTCCTCACGTAGTCATTCCCCACCTAAACTCTAACAATGCTACCAGTTCTTTAAGATTCCAAAAGTATTTCAGAGAGGCTGCCTTTGAAATTGTTCTTATCATTTTGCCTCCATACAGAAAAAAAAAAGCCAAAATATAATTCAGTTACTTAACTATTCTTTCCTCGCTTCATCACGGTCTCTGAATTTCTCTTTCTGCTAGCTTACATGACTGTAACTCTAAGAAAGTTTTCATCTCCATTGCTCCCTCAGGGTACAGTACTATGCTGGAGTCCATTTTGAAAGACCAAACACTGTCATTCATTGCTGGCCCAGAAGTGCTCTACAGACAGACAGAGTATCCCAGGGTTACTCTGGGGATACTGTGAGTGTTCATAGCACACATCCAGTGTGGTGATTATCAATTAGCAAGCAGGATCTTCACACAAATAGGTTAATGGAGCTGTCTCTCAAGGAGAGTCATCTCTATATAGGTTGAAGGTCAGTGAGTAAGTACAGTGGGATTATAGAGATAATAATATTCTAACCACTGCTTAAGCACTCTCAAGATTCTCCTGAGATTGTTCTCTATTGCATGGCTTCACAGCCCCTTGATGCTGAGATCCTCCCTTGAATCAGCAAATGGCCTTTCTGAATGTGATTTTCTGATATATGCTTATAAATGTGGCTTCTCTCTTTCTTACACACAAGACCAGAACATGTCGTTTCTACAACAGGAGATCTTAACCTATAATTAATATAATTTACTCAACTATGCAAAATGTTTATGAATTTATACAGGTAAGTTTTCAAAAGAGAGAATATTAACTTTTACCCCATTTCCAAAGTGGTCTGTGATCACAAAAAGAAGCTAAAAATATGGCAGATCTGGGAACCAAGCATAGGCTGCATCATCCTAAGCTACTTATTCTTAACCCCTTTGCTGACTTCTACCTTCCATCTCAGTGACCATGAGCAATTAATCCAACATTTTCTAGCCTAATTTAAATTTAAAATTAAAATTATAATCATGCCATTCTATTCTCAGGAAGATGGCAAAGATACAGCTTATGATAAGTATGACTGAAATTCCCAGATATTATGTACAAGGCAAACATGAGAAGACTGTGGAAGGTAGAAAGATTAAGACAGACAGCTTGATACCTCCAGGCCAGGTTGAGACCTCCAGACCAGGGGAAATTACTTGGTGGTGATGTCTTTAGTTTCTTTTTTACTTTATGTATTCCAGACATGAAGCTGAAGAAGCCAGAGACTTATGAACACCAATAGGTAAGACAAATAAAGTAAAATAAAAATAGCTATAATGAAAAGTTTGATGGATAGAATCAACATCACACTGGAAAGAACAGAGAAAGAATTGGTGAAATAAAAGATAGAAAAATAGAAATTACTCAATAGATGGCAGAGAGAAAATAGAAAAAAATTAAAGACTTAGGGATTAATTTTACAGACTATAATATATCTAACATCTTGATCATCAGAATCCTGGAAGAATAGAAAGACATACAAAATTGCTTGAGAACACAATGACTTTTTTGCAAAAGAGAAGGGGAGCAAGAGATGGTGGAGATGTGGTTGAGGGTGGGGTGCAGTGTGGTGGGAGAAAAGGCAGGAAAAAGTAATTGAAGTGTGTTATATCCATGTTTACATGTCCAACTCCCTACAGTGAATATGATCATTATGTACTACAAACATGGACTTCTAAAGAAGAAAGAAAGAAAGAAAGAAAGGCAGAAAGGCTGAACTCTATCGACCCAATGTTTGGTAAAAGACTTAAATTTGGTCCAGAGATTTAGCGCAGTGGTGCCATGCCTGTCTCATAAGCACAAGGTCCTAAATTCAGTCACCAGTACCAGAAAAAAAAAACAAACATAGATTTGAACATAAGTTCAAGAAACAAATAAAAGCCTGAGGAGGATAAGACTAAAGAAATCAATGTTAAGAAACACCATAATTAAAATTCTGACAATGAAAAATAAAGAAAAAAAGTTGAAACACCTTAGCAATAGAAGGAAGAAGAAAGACAACAGATTTTCTTTAGAAACTATAGATTTCAGAAGGAAGTGGCACAATATTTTCAAGTACTGAAAATAAAAAACTGTAAAACCATAATATTGAATTCAATAAAAGCAACTTTCAGGAAAAAGGAAATGAAGAATTTTCAGGTCAGATAAAATTGAGAATATGGGGTCTGTAGACCTACACTAATAAATTTCTTTAATTAAAATATATTTAAACAGAAAGGGAATGAAACAAGAAGCTATTGTAGACTTCAGGAAGGGACAAAATATAAGGGAAAAAGTAAAACTAAGTAAAAAATGCATTTCCTTTTTTTGAGCTTTCTAAATCATGTTTCATTTTATAATACTGATGCCACTTTGTATATAGAGAGGAAATATTTAAGACAATTGTACATGGAAGAAGGTAAAAGATAGAAAGGAGAGGTGACATGTCTATATGTTACTCAACCCAATAAAATAATAGCATGAGTAGACTATAATGAGTATGTGTATGTTGTGTGAAACCACTAGTAAAGCTAATTGAACATGATAAGTAAACACAGTCTCAAGAACCTGTGAGAATAACAATATAGCTAATGTTAATGTCATCAGAGTCTGGGAAATCAATCTGACAGTTTTTAAGCAACTGAACATAAAAAGAATGTACAGCTCAATAATGTTATTCCTGGGCATGTATTTAGGAAAAATGAGGACATATATTCATTAAAAAATACACATTTCATATCAAATTTATCTGTAATAGCTCCAAACTGAAAATAACACATATGTCTTTCAAGATAGTAAGTAGTTAAGCAATCTGTGAACATACATCTATGTCACTGGGATAATATTGAGCAATAAAAAGGAATGACCTACTGATGTATAAAACAACCTAGATAAAAGTCCAGGGAAATAAGCCAAGCAAAAAAAAGCTGACTGTAGAAAGTTGCCTGTTGTATGCTTCCATTTATGCAACACTCTCAAAATAATAAAAATGCAAAAATAAAGAACATATTAGTGATTACCAGAGTTTAAGAGGAGCGGAGGCAGCAAGGAGTGGGTTTGTTCATAGAGGCAACGTGAGGGGATAAACAAATGTTTCTATCTTGACCTTGACTGTGTCAATGTCATTACCTTTGTGGTAATATGGTCCTATAGTTTTTCAGGAGCCATTGAGAGAGGACTAGGTTTGGGGTACATGGAAAATTTCTGCCTTGTTCCTTATAACTACATGTAATTTAAAATATCTCAAAGTAAAAGTTTAATTTAAAAAATCATATCTATCATTGTGATAGGCCTGTGAAAATGCTTTCTAGCTGGTAAATGTTGTTATACCTGTGTAAATGCATATATATATATATATATATATATATATATATATCTATACATGAATTTGAAGTTAGTATTTATCAGCCTATTGTACTCAAAGAAGTTCAAGCATTTGATTATTAGGTTCTGAGTGTACAGGGAAAGAGAAGTAGTTAATGAGTATGTAGGGCTGATCCTAATTGTAATGAGAGATAGATACAAACACTCCTGAGTTAGCACACACACAATGTGGCTTTTGTGTTAGAGAATGTTGCCGCCAGTGATGTCATTAACTATCAGTGATTCACCAGTGAGCAGATTCCAAAATAGATCTCACAAGCCATGGCTGGAAGTCACTGAGTTATACTATCCCCAAAGCAGAGCTGAGAAGATTATAGGAGAATGCTCAGAAGTGACTAAGTTTCATGCCATAGGTGTATATTAAATCTTTGTTGACTCAATGAATGGCATAATGCTAAATACTTGGGAGCACTTTGTACCACAGCTAAATCTACACTAGGATCTTCTGCAGACACCTCAGAGTCTTCCTGCCCAATCCTGAACCTTTGTCTCTGTAACCCAACATGACAGTCCTCTTGTACTCCTGTGTTAACAAACATCAACATTCATAGATACGACTCAAATTATTCCAGGCAGCTCAAAATTTCTCTAGACTTCTTTTCTATATTCTAAATCCACTCGAAATCAAATACTTAGCATCTCCTTAATTGTCCACCATCCTCATCCTCACAACCCATAGCTTTTTTCCTTCCTTTGTCCTTTCTCCCCTAAATAATTTCATATTACCTCTGTATTCAATCCTCAAAGTGACTTGTTTGTGAAATCTTCCTTGATTATACCAGTTATTTTGAAGATAATATTTATAACCATTTATTGAGCTCTTGCATTTACTATATACTTTGCTAAGCCACTTTCATACGCTAACTGTTGGGATGAATTAGTAGGCATTTGGGTTGCCTTCCCGAGTCTTTCTGATCCATGATTGCCTCTACCTCTAGTCCCACATAACTTTTTCTTTCTGCATTTTCTTTTACGTTTTGGTTAAGTGTTTTTTCTGTGTATATCCACAAGTTCCAGCAGGGTGGGGACAGCTTCCTTGCAGAAGGATAAATGTCCATCAGTCTGGGCTGATCATGCCATTTCACAAGTTTTGCCAGCTAAACGTTAAGACATTGGCCTGTGATTCAATTCTAGCCCAACAAGAGGAAGTCTGCTGGTGGTGATGGTGGTGGGTGTGACTTCTGACAGAATCTTGTTACTCTTAATACGAGATGCATACTTTCTCTTTTGGGGTTACGAAGATGCCCTTGTGAAGAGAAGACTGGGGCCCCAGAAGCTCTCTAGAAGGCATGAGGAGGTGATACTGAGAGCAAACACCAGCAGGTGATAACGTGACCAAAGCTTATACAATTAATGTGAAACTTTGGATTTTTGATAGGTGGGATAAAAATAATTTACCCTACCTAGAAATGAAAACGGATGTGTAGAGCCTTAGAAATCTTGGTACCATCCTCCCATTTTCCTTATGTGAGAGAATCCCATCTATGGGTGGAGAAAAGCACAAAAAAGGGGGAAAAAACACCTGAAAAAAATTATAGGAAAATGAGATTTGATGATATTGTGGACTTTTGGCTCTAACCTAGTGACCATCCTGGTTCTGAGGTTTCCAGTGGTGTGAGTTAACCTATTCCTTTATAATATTAACCAATCTGAGATATTTGCTGCCTAAAAGAGTCCTTGGTGACATAATCTTAATTGCATTTTACTTCAGATAAAGGATCACAGTATAAATGTGGTAAATATAAACTCCAGTATACATTAAAATAATATAGTCATTTTGTCTATATACAATAATTTCTACTTTTGGTATCACTGAAATCATGAGTGAGTATCAATGAATTCTTCATATTAAAGTACAAAGATACCCATGTTTCTCGGCGGCTAAGGTTGGGAATTTTGAGATCATGATCCTTTTTATCTATTGTGGCAACATAACCACTGGAGTGTAGATTTCTTAACATAAAAATAAAATATTTTCTGATGTGATTTTTTTATATACATACACATATGTCTGATATTATGAGGTTTCTATTTTCTTATGTAGGCAGAAGTTTAAATTTTTAGTCTTGGTATTATATTTGTCGAAGAAATAGATAAATGAACCTCTGAGAATATTTTTCTTAATGTTTTACAAACAGTTCAAGAAGCCTTAAATTCAGTATGGGGAAATTTAGGTTTTTACTAGAAATAAAGAAATGGAGGTATAAGTGAAATATTCTGGTTTAAAAGCTGAAATCCAAGCTGGGCATGGTGGCACATGCCTATAATCCCAGCACTCAGGAGGCTGAGGCAGAAGGATCACTGTGAGTTTGAGACCAGCCTGGGCTATGTAGTGAGTTCCAGGGCAGTCTCAACTACATAGTGAGAAGAAAAAACAAAAAAAAAAAAAAAAAAAAAAAAAAAAAAAAAAAAATCCAAAATGCATAGGTGATATATGAAATTTTAGGCGGAATAATGACTATGAAAGTGAAAAAAATAATTCTTTGATTTTTTTTTTTGGTTAAAAGTGAGTTCAATAACCATGGAATGACTACCAAAAATACTGGCACAATACTGTCACACAAATGAACTCTTTTATTTGGCCTTCTAAAGACTTGGTCCTACTCTTCAGAGAGTTTTATAACCTTTCATAATCCAAACTTAACCATCAAGCAACAAGATAGCTACATGGTTTTTTTCATGGTCTGTAGCTTAATGACTTTATAGCTGCCTATCTACTTTTATCTCTCTGATTCTTCCACTTGGCTTTGATCTTTGGTAAAGAATTAATGGCTTAATGTCTTAAAAAGGAATGGCAAAGCAAAAGAAAAGAAGGGGAGCGTTAGGAAATGGCACTACAGTGATGACCAAGAAATTTTACTTTATTAAAAAAGCTTTAGGGCCCAGGGATTTAACTCAATGGTGCCATGGCTGCCTCTTAAGTGCAAGGTCCTGAGTTTGATCCCCAGTATTTGCAGTGCTCGCTGAGCTGGAGATCACTATGGCCAGGCCTAACTCACCTACTCTGGATGAGGAAAGACTGCAAGTGGAATAAGGAATACACATCTTGTTTGCTTCCTTCCTCAGAAGAGGCAGGGAGGAGAACAGGAGACAAGAGCACATGGTGGAGCAAGGCCAGGCCCAGAAGGAACTATATTCCTCTCCTACCCATTCACCAGAGAACCATCAAGCACGATCTCCTGCGGACCTTAGCTTCCCTTCTGGCTGCAGTTACAGACCAGGCTGTTTTATCGCTCCCTGGGTTTCCCTTATCTCTACCACTATAAATAAACAGGTGGCCATTTACTTGGTGGTCTTTTCTTCTCATCCAGAGTTAGAGCCCACCTGAATATCTCCTTGTCTTTAGGGTGCCTGTTTCTAGAATGTCCCCAGCTGACCGTGTGTTACAGACTTGGTCCTCAGGGTAGCTCTATCTGGAGATGGTGGAAACGTTATGAGGTAAGGCCAGTGGGAAGTTTTAGTCATTGGCCGTGTGTTCTTGCAGGGCATCACTGGGCCTTCTTCACTCTTTTGGTTCCTGGTCACAAGGGGAGCAATGTTGCTATGCTATGTGCTTCTGCCATGATGTGCTGGAGTCAATGGTTATCTTATCTCCCTAATATAAGAATCTATCATTGTATACAGTTTCTCCAGTCACCCTCCAATGTGGAGCAGATTGAACCATCAATCAAAAACCCTGGATTTTGCTCCCAGCTGCACCCCACTATGATGATCTTGGGAAATAGATTTAACTTCCCTAAATTTCACTTTCTTTATTTCCAAAATAAGGAAAAAGATTTTTCCTGTTTAAAGGAGGGTATTGTGCCATTCTGAGTTAGTGATAAATGAGTGTCTCATGAAGGATATGTTCATATATTTAAAAAATTAATTTATTCCAGTAGTCTACAATAGGGAACTGATTTGGAGCAGTCTGATCTGTAACTTTTCTAAAGTCCAGTAGTATTCCAGTTGCCTGAGAGTGTTGGAGCATTCACTGATCCATTGTGAAATTCACTATGAAAACGATTCCAAGTAATTTCTAGGGCTGGGTTAGAAAAGACTGTTCAGGGGCCAGGGATTTGGCTCAGTGGTTCTGCTGCCTGCCTTGCAAGCACAAGGGCCTGAGTTCAATCCTCAGCACCAGAAAGAGAAAGAAAGAAAGAAAAGGCTGTTCAACTCCACCTTGTTTGCAACATCACTCACTATTGGAATAGTGAGTTAATGTATAAGAAGTCTGACCACATTGAGGTCACCATAGTGGAGAGACTAGGAGGAAAAATCATTTAAAGAGACTATTTGACTAAATTAGGAGCAATGCCAATGAACGCCCAGTCGGTTGAGTCATTCCGGATCAGATTCAAACCATGAAAGTGAAGAGGACACCAGATAATTCCAACCTGCAGCCATTCAAGTCAGCACCAACCATTTGAGTCATTTGAGTCTTCCTCGTTGAGGTTCCAGGCATGGTGAAGTATAGCTAAGCCACACTGGCTGTGAGGCCTGAAGTCCTGGTACAGAAAATCCAGGATCTTAATAACATAGACTCGGTTACATCTAGTTCTGGAATAGTTTGCTATGTAATAATAAATGGAAGAGTTTCTCAGTCCATTTCCAGAAAATCCTGCATAGTCTCAATATTTATAGATGGAAACTGAGACTCAGTGAATTTAAGTACTTTTTAATCCTACCACAGACATAATACACCCACAATTTGAACTCAGGTCTATCTTCATGCAGAACACATGTTCTTCCAACCAGTGGGGCTGACCTCTGAGGCACATGCATAGTCAGCCTGATGAATCTATAGGACGAAGATGCAGAAGGAGAAATATTCGTGCTATGGTACATGTTTGTCTCAAGGATGTCTTCAGATGACCATCCAAAGAGTTCCTCACATTTGTTATTATCTGTCTCAAGGATGTCTTCAGATGACCATCCAAAGAGTTCCTCACATTTGTTATTATCTGCCTCAGACATCTTAATTAAATGCTTAGGAGGCTTCTACTATATAATCTCTATGCACTCTTCCTTCTGGAACAAAATGTAAAATAAAATTCATGTTGACTGCTCACATTCAACTATTGATTTCTGTTCTGTTTTTTAACCTACTTTCCCTTTGAAAGTGTAAATTCCCCAACAAGAGAAGAATAAATAAATGCAAGCCAGAGCCACCTGGGTGAAAGAAGGTAGTGAGATTAACACATCCGCATACAGGTCTGGGTTAATGGTTCAATAGAAGGGTTAAGAAGCCTTAAATTAAAATTTGTTTGAACTTGAAAAATCCTTTCCTGAAATCCCAGGAGAAAGCTCTTTTCACTTTTGCAGTGAACTTTTCTCTACATATAGCACTTACAAAAAGAACAAGAAAAAGAAAAGAGAGAGAAAACACCAAGGCAAAGGGATAGGGTACTTTGAATGGAAAAATAATGTACTCTTTCAGTTTTATCAAATCCATAGCTTGAGGCCCAGAGAGCTCATTCACTGTGTCCTGGGTGGAAGATAAATGATATAGGCAGTGCCTGGAGAAATCTGCATTTGGCTCCCATTCCAAAACTGTATTGTCCATATTTACTTTCATTCCTGCAATTGCTATGATTAATGTTCCTTTTGCATAAAATTGGGCTATGTTGTTTCCGTGAGTGACCAACAAATTGTTAGAGTGAGAAGTGGAGATAGGAATTGATTGGTGAAACATCAATATCGTTTTAGCAGCTATAATTTTTTGAGCACCTAAATAATGCAGGTGACTTAGATGTGTTTTCTATTTAATGTTCACAAAAATTCTCTAAGGTCAGTCTTCTTATTTCTATATTTATATGATATACTGACTTTTTTTTTCACTACTGGCAATTGAACCCAGGGCCTTTGCAGTGAGTTACTCCTTCAGCCCCGTTTACTTTTTATTTTAAGAAAGAGTCTTAATAAACTGCTCAAGTGGAACTGAAAATTGTGATTCTCCTGACTCAGCCTCCCAAGTACTGAGCTGTGCACCAGCTGAACACTGACATTTAAGAGGGTAAATTATCTTTTGGACAGCAAAGCTGCTCAGGTCTCCACACCAATACATCTTGCACCAAAATCTGTTGCACTGTTTCCCATGGTTTACACAAGGTGATTTTAGACATACATGAATGGACAGGTGATGATTCAGTATTTATGTGGTTATTCAGTGTGCATTAGAAAAATAATGTACAAGTACATAAAACCCAATCATTCATGGATAGTATTTCTTACAACAGGGATAAGGAATATATTTAAGTTTTTTCAAAGTGGGTAGAGTTAGAAAAAAGTTAACTAAATAGTTACAGAAATAAAAGTAAATAGAAGTGGTATCCTGTTATAATTTTCATCTAATGTCCCCCAAGAGCCTCATCTGCTCATAGGTAGAGCTTTTGGAATGTGACTGGGCCATTAGACTGGACTATGAGGGCCAAATATCTGATTTGCTATTACAAGGTGAGATTCAGTTTTTAAAGAAAAAAAGCCCCTTTCAAATGTATCTATGTAGTTTAGTAGGACGTAATCTTCACATGTTCATGAAGTATTGTTCATAGAATAGGAAAACCATCTTCATCTGCATTCATCCACCCACTTGATGGAATTTATTGAGTTCTGAAAATGTAGTAGAAATTAGCTACTTAATATATATTCTCCGTATTCTAGGAGCTTATGTCTCTTGGGGGAGTGAGTCATCTCAATATTTATTTATGACATAGTTGTTCACAGACAAAGAGCTATAGGACCAGCTCAGGAGAGACTTGTTTCCTAACTCTTCAGGAATGCAGCCTCTGGGAAAACTTCATAGGGCAGAGAATCCTACTGTATATAATAAGCTGGCAGAAATTCAGTCCAGATGCAAAGCAGTTGAAAATCTGCTGCTTCAGGCTGAAGTTATAGCTTGGTGGTAGAGAGCTTGGCTAACAGGCAGCAAGCCCTGGATTCAGTTTCCAGCACTACAAAACTGAGACCAAAAACAAAAACAAAACCCCGCTTCTTGTATCTGATAAACCATAGGAATGTAATGAGGGGCGAAGGTAGAATTTTACAATGTGAATGATCTATCATAACTGATACTCAGAGCTGATCTTAGCACCACTTTTCTTAATAAAATAAAATTATTTTTACTGATAAGCTTGAAGCGAAAAGAATAATAATCAAAATGACCAAAAAAGACAAATAGAATACAGTATTGGAGTACTACTTTTAAATGACATCAAAGTATTATTTTAACAAAAAGGCATGTATATACTGTTATACTGATCAATCAGAGCAATAGACAATAGTAGTAGTTTGTTTTGGAGGATTAATTTCTGTCAACTTATTGATTGATTCATAAAAATTAATTTTCTCATATTTCTGGATAAGTTTCATTTACTTGATGAAAGAATCTACTGTATTAATTTTAATTTCAAAAAATTATTTTCATGTGAACTCACATTATACACAGAATTGTGAAAAGTCTTAAACATAAGGAACATTTGGTGAGATTAAAAAATTCCATTTTGTGATAACTCTAAGAAAATACTACTGCATGTATCTTTGTTTCTTCAAGACAGGGTGATTGATTCTAGAGGCTTTAAATGTCTCTGGAGCTGAAAAACTGTAAACAGGAAGTAAAATACTGTGGAATTCAGAATTAAAGTCGCGCAAGTTCTGCTTCTTGTCCTTGTAACCACTGTGCTCTCATAGTTCACTTTGAAGCTACTGTTTAAACACAGGAATACATTGTGCAACAGGGGTTGGGAACAGGAACTCAGCTTGAAAGAAGCTCAGAGGTTTTCAGACTGTTACGGAATTCCTCTCAGAGTGAATTTAAGAGCTGGAAGTTTGGGTCCATTTATTTAACTGGGGATCTTCTCAATTTTCATAGAGATAATATAATCAAATAGAAATAATAAAATTTTCTAATTGGTTGCTTATGTATTGCTATGGCTTGTATGTGTCCCTCCAGAAAGTACCCAATGGAACCTTAGTTTCCAGTGCCACAGGGTCGGGAGGTGGGGGTCCCATGGTGATGAAGCAGGACAACGGAGTGAACAGGCTAATGCCATTATTGCAAATGTGGTTCATCGTCGTGCAAGTGGATTAGCTGTAAAAGAAGGCTATCATCCTTTTTTTACTTTCTTTTTCACTCTCTGCCCTTTTATCACAGAGGTCAGCAAGAAGACCCCATCCAGACGCCAGCCACTCAATCATGAATGTCCTAGCCATGAGAAATTTGAGTCCAATTTCTGTTCGATATACATGGTTCATCCTATACTCCAGTTATAGCAGCACACAATGGACTAAGACAC